TCTCTGGATCGCGTTTTGTTGTTAGCAGATACGGTCATTACAACGTGCTTGTACTGACATGTTGTTTGCTGGCTTGTGTTTTGTGCTTGCCTCTCTCTCTTTCTCTCTCTTGCCACCCTCTTTTGGTATTCCCCTCCATCTATGCTGTTTGTATTTTGTTGTTTGTATTCTGTCTTTGTGTCCCTGGCCAGAATCCACATGCGCGTCCTTCTCCTAGACCTATCCCAGCCCATCTCTCTGTCACCACACTCATCTCACCCGCGCTATCTGTTATGTCTTCTGTGCGACTGGCTTTGATGATTCCCCATCGTCACCTCTTTCGTGCCATCTCCTCATTACCATCGTCTCGAACCTTTACCTCGCGCCATTCAATTGTCTCTCGTCGATCGCGTTTCCCGTCTCCCCTCTTTTTCTCGACCTCCATGGTGCACACACGCACACGCACACGTACACGCACACACACACACAGATACACACACTCATATATATATATATATATATATATATATATATATGTGCACACACACACGCGCACACGCAAACGCACACGCACACCCACGCCCAAACCCACGCCCAAAACCCACGCCCTATCCACCCACCTTCCCACGCACACACACACACACTCTCTCTCTATGGCCCCCTGGGGAAGACGTTCCAACCCTCCTTCCTTCTTCCGGCTCTCTCCCTCGACCAATACCTGCTTTTATGTTATTTGTTTCCTTTGTCCATGTGTTCTGTTTGTTTGTTTTCTCTGCCTCTTTCTCTGTTTGTTTCCGGGCGTAGCTCGAATCTGTCGCTCGCGAGGTCAATCGACTCGACTGACTGGACTGGACTGGTCGCGCCCGTCAAACGGCCGTCTTGCCTTCGGCCGCCAAGTGCGCAACCTACAATGGCGCAGTCACCAGCAGGTTCTCGGCGGCCGGACGCACAACCGATTGCGAAATGCTTGGGGCCGTTTCGTGCTTGGCCGTCCGACATTTGACCTATGGCGGAACAAAGAAGAGGCACTTCTGTCATTGGCGGTCAAGGGCGCAGCCTAACACGCACCCAATAACAGGTCTTGTGATTTTCGGCGGCCGACCGCGCAACTATTGCGCAACCCTTCGCAGGCCGTTCCATTATCGGCCGTCCGACGCGCAACCGATAGTGCAACCTGTAGGCCGTTTTGTCCTCGCGGCCGAGTGCGCAACCTATGACGCAAAAAGTAGAAGGTCTTTCGTTCCCTGCAGCCGAGCGCGCAACCAATGGCGCGACCCATGGCAAGCTATTTTTTCTGGCGGTCGAGTGCGCCACCCGTGTCGCAACCAACCGCGGCGCCCGCGTCGGCGATCTCGCTATGTAGCATTTCGCGCTACCTATGCCGCAAACCATGGCGCAACCCATGGATGGCGTAACTTTTCGATCCGCAACCCATGGCGTGCCGCGTGGGTGGCGCACACCCGTTGAAACTGGGCTACTGGGGCCCGAGCGACGAGCTGACTGTTTTTGTTGTGTGTGTGCCCAACATATTTGTTTTGTATCGTTGTTTCTCGATAAACGATTGTTTTGCTCTCTCTCTCTCTCTCCGTCTTTCTTCCAGGGACCAACAATTGTGATGCTTCCTCTGCGGGTCTGCAGATTGCGATATCAACTCTCGCGCCGAGGTGGGGGTCTCTAACGCGAGGCCGGCATCGGTGCGACGCGACACCGAACGCGTGAATCGAGTGAGCTTGCGGTCGCAAGAAACCACCAAGCACGGAGCCGAACGACAATTGAAGGTAAAGCCGCCACCGCCCGAAAGAGCCCCTCAGCGCGCCAATGGGGCAGTCTGGGCGGCCGGGGGCTGCGGGGGGATTCCGCGCAAAAGGAATGCGCTGCGAAACGTTGCGGCCCAGTAGAACTCAGACGCCTCCAAGACTTGGCCGAAACATCCCAGGGACCTTCCAAAATGGCACGGACACCCCGTACTCCAGAGTGGATTCGACGGAGCCAGCGCGAAGCACCACAGAGCGCGCGACAGGCCCGGAGCGAACGAGGCCCGCGGAGAGCCACCCCGGGCAGAGGCGCAGCCGACGCCCGCGACAGGTGAGATGGCGGAGTTTGGCGGCTCGGGCCAACAGGAAGCCAGCAGTGTTGAAGGGGCCCTGGGACGCACAAATAAATACACACAAATAAACAGATCCCCTATATTTTCACATATTTTCTCGGTTTTCGTCTTCCCCCCCACTTCCCATGTTTTCCCATATTTTCCTGGGAGTCGACGATTAATTGTGTCTGTGTGGTTTTTCCCCTCCGCAAGTGTGTCATTGGACCGGCCCAGGCGGGCGAAGGCCCCCGGGGGGCGGACGCTGCGCGCTTCCCCCGAGGCGGGCGGGCGATCGACGCAGGGCCGCGCCTCCCCTCTGGAGCGCGCGCGTCGACCAGCGGCGCCGCGGGCGCAGCGCTGCGCCCGAGGCACTCGGAGGAGAGAGGTGAAGGTACTCCAGACTTCGTAATAAAAGGGAGGGGGTCTCAACCCTCCCAGACGAGAAGTTTTAGACCCCCCCTCGTGGGAGAACCCTCCAAAACATCGTCCCCAGACCCCCCCAGGCCCTCCAAGACAGCCTGGAAGAGACCCCCCCCGAAATGAGACTCCCCTCCCTTTATTACGAAATCTGGAGTATCAGTTTGCGCGACAGTGGCCCCGTCGACGTTGCAGCATGCGGCCTCAGCTCCTGTTCGGGGTCCGCCGCTCGAACCACCCAAAGGGCCGACGCATGGCGCCGCCTGGCGTTCTCCACCGATGAAGATCTACAAATGTCTGGCATGTCTGTCGTTCTCGAAGAGGCTGGTGAAATGTCGGGGGTGGTGAGCTGCAGCCGGTACTCGCAACAATGTGTTGCAGCGTCCATAGCTGATGAGACGACAAATCTCTGTCTATTTGTTTTTGTTGTGTTTCTCTCTCTGTCTCTCTGTCTCTCTCTCCCTCTGTCTGCCTTTTTCTAGTCTCGAGCCCCCCCAATGAGGTCACCCAAACAAACCTTGACGCTCGCAACCAGCGCGACAACCGCTAGCTACCTTTTCGGCGTTCCGTGACAAGCCTGGGAACCCACTCCACGGGCCACGCCTGGGTCGCGGTCGGGCGTGCCCTTCTGTGACGCCCTTTCAACAGACACCTGGCCGCCCCCGAAGGTGAAGGATCCAAGGCCACCGCACGATTGGACTTGGGTAGGTCGGGTCTGGCAGTGCCCTCGCTGCCTGCGCGGATCCAGATCTACGGCAACGCCCGCTCCTGGGATGTGTTCTAGACTACTTCGCGTCGATGCCACGCAAAGGCGGGACTTCGAGCACCGTTGTCTTGAGGTAGATTTCAGCGACAACAATGACTCTCGTGTCTGCCAGGTCAGTGCCACGTGCACGACGAGAGGTCGAATGAGGCGGCTTGCTCGGCAATGTCTGGGCAGACCGTCTGCTCGAAACTCTGCTTGGACGAGATTGAGCAAACGTCTCCACCCCGACCACGAGAGGGTCGGGGCAACTGTCGATCTCGAGACGACCTGCCCCCTGAGAGGGGGTCTGTGGCTGCGGACGTCAAAAAAAATCTTCCCTCTTCCTTTTTGTTTTGTTCTCTCTCTCTCTCTCTCGCTCTATCTCTTCGTTTCCTTGTTTTTCTCTCTCTCTCTCTCTATCCCTGTCTCTCTCTCTCTCTCCCTCCCTCTTGAAGGCGAACGGGGAATCGCCCGCCCCCTCCGCGTACCGCTGTTTATCACAATCAGGGCGATGCAGAATACGTTTTCTGTTTTGTTGTTGTTTTTGTTATCATGTTGTTCCCATTGCGAATGTTCTCGGTCCTTCCAGATGGTGTTCCCGCTGCAGCGTGGGCATCATTTTAGGCTCGAGGCGTTGATCCGGTCGTTCAGACTGGCGCTGTCGTTCAGATTTGGCCACCTTCCGTCGTCGTCGTCGTCGTCGTCGTCGCCGTTGTCCGTGTAACGTGTCCGGGCTCGCCGATCCGAGCCCTGTCGTCGTCGTTGTCGCCCCCTTTGTTTCCCCTCCTTCTTCGCCCCTCCCTGGCTCTTCTGCGCCTTTCCCTCGCCCTCCTTTCCCTCGCCTATCCCTTCGTCGTCGTTGTCGACCCTCTTCTTTCTCCTCCTTCTCCTCCCGCTACCTCCACTGCGGTTCATGCTGTTGCTGCTGCTGCTCGTCCCTTTTCTCCGTCTGCCTAATCATCTCCTGCAACTCATCCTCCTTCTCCTCCATCTCCTCTTCTTCCTCCTCATCCTCCTCCTCCTCCACCTCCTCCTCCTAAACCTCCTCCTCCTCCTCCTCATCATCATCATCCTCTGCACGCAACTCCCAGGCTCCGACCGTGCATAACGCGATGGGATATCTTTAGGAGTTCCAGGTCCGCTCCGACACACGTCCGCGAATGGAGGCACAATCAGCGCAACAGGATGGGATGGTCGGGAGGGGAAGGACGTCAGATATGGCGCGAGCGCACAAAGCTTGCCATGTCCCGCTCTCCATCTCTCCCTCTCTCGTCTTCCCTTCTCGCTGACCCTCTCACTGGCGTTATGTCGGGCATGTCCCCCGACAGGCGGATTTTGGATGAAAAATAAAAACATCAAACATAACCAAAAAGACCCCGAAATGGTAAAACATGTCTCCATACTGTTCTTTGGCTATGTTTGAATTTTCCTCCTGTAGAGGGACATGCCCGAATTAACAATGGCGCGCCGAATCCTGACACTGGTGGGCCAACTGGGGCCACGTCGGCCTGTAAGGCGAACTATGGAGCAGCAGCAGCGCCAGCGGCAACGCCACATGGAACCGTGGCCCGGCCAGGAGCACGCCCTCGGCGCCAAGCGCCGCACCACCGTGCTGCTCCGCAACCTGCCACACTCGGGGAAACGTAAGACTCGAGTTAGCTGGAACTCGGGGTTGCCGACATTTTTTGGACGAGCGAGTCCTGGATTTTGTGACCGTCCAGTGCTCGTGGGATGTCTGCAGCGGGAGTTCGCGTCAAGTTTCAGATTGGGTCTCGTCTTTTTATCATGGCCCCGTCAGGCCAACCCGAGTCCCCCGCATTTGGGTCTTCCGTCTCCGCGACACACGCGCCCAAGCGCGACATGTTCGTTGAGCTCCTCTGCACGATGTAAGTGTGGATGCCCGGGTCGAAACATATTGCATCGGCATCTTCATAACAACGACGCTCGCCGCGGCAATCCGCTCTCCAACGGCGCCTGCCTTCTGCGCACGCGTGCGGCCCGAGGTTAGCACGCGTTGCCCTGCCCCCCAGCGACGCCTCCAGAACCCGTTGCTGAGTGTTTGGGGGAGCCTGCCGAGCGCAGGCGCTCGACCATCCGAGCTACCCTCGTGTGCAGAAGCGGCGCGCCTGCATGTCGAGTGCTGTCTTTACTTCGCTGCTCCTTCTCCCCCATCCCCCCCCCCTTCTCCCCCCTGGGGGGGAACTAGTCGCATCGACGATCTCTCCCCCGTCCAACCCCCCCCCGCCCCTGGGGGAAACGTCCCCCCACGAGAGAGAGGCGAAGCGGCCCGCGGGCCCCCCAGGGGTGCCAGGGAACACAGCTCCCCCAAACTGTGGCCAGCCCTGCTGGGATCATGTGGCCGACCCCCCGAACCCAGACCCCCGACGCCGTGCTGTTGTCATAACGTCGACCCTCAAGGGCCTCGACCCGTTCCCCTGGACCACTTGTTCATCCCGCATCGTTGTTCGACGGCCCCCAGGCCCGGCAAGGGCCTCCCCTCCATGATGCCAAAGACAACGATCCGCCTCCTGTCATGATCCCTTCATGGCCCGAACGGGTCTCGGGGACCCGGAGAACACCGCTGTGCTGACGCCTCGCGCATACAGTCGAGGCGTTGACCCAAGGAACCCTAAATGAGGAACGAGGCCCCTTTCTTCGTAAGTTGAACTTCGACTTCCCATCGAAAACCGAAGGGAAACCTTAGGCAAGGTGTGGAACAATTCAGGAACATCTTTGGACGCCCGAAATGGGTACGGAAAGAATGGGTAATATGCCCAACAACAAATGTTGTCCCAAGCCAACAGCGGCCACTGTTGGGCAGGCGGCCTTCTGTCTCGAATGGGCACCGGCCGCGGCGGCGTGGACAGCGAATCCTGTTCAAAATGAACAGGAATTGTTGTTGGGCATTGTACCCATTCTTCCAGTACCCATTTCGGGCGTCCAGATCAGCGCCCCCGAACTGTGCTCCCGCCGCCCTGCGGAGAGCGCCCGCCGGGCGGGCCCGACGCCCGGTCTGCCTCCGCCGGAGCTCCCGCGGGCCCTCCGCCGAGGGCGGGGGCCGCGCAGCAGGCGAGGCCCTCCGTGGAGAGCGCGCCTCTGTGGAGGCGTGCCCCCCCTCGACGACCGACTATATTATTCCCCGCCCTGCCCCCTCCCCTCCCTCCCCTCCCGTCTCCCTCTCTGTCTGTCTCTCTCTCTCTCTATATATATATATCAACCTTCTTGCTTCAACCCGCCCAAAGCAGGAGGCGTGCGGCGAAGCGCTCGGGGTGCGCGTGCTCCAAAGCATGCGCAGAGGGCGTCTGCACCCCCCCCCCGTGCCAGGCCAGGGCCGTCCTGGCCCTCGCCATCCTCTGGACGTCCATTCCCTGTGTTTTTTTCGGTTTCGTGCGTGATGTTTTTTCGCCAGATGATCAACGATGCTCCTCGATGGTCCTCGCAGAAGGAAAACATGCACACGACCGAGCGATGCCGAGGGCCCTGGCATGGCGTGCATGCCCTCCTGGTCAAGGCCCAGAATGGTCCTGGCCTGGCACGGTGGTGTATAGAAGCCTTCGTCGCACTACATGCCGCTTCTGAGAAAACGCGCCACCGTAAACAAAAATCCACCCGGGCTCTCAGAGAAGGAACCGCCCCACAAAACGCCCAGGGGACCATCGTGAAAAGCGAGGCCCTTCCGAATCCGAGCTGCTCCTTGCTTCAGCGTGTATGCTATCCATCCTCCGAAACATCATCGAATGCAGCTGCTACCTTCATGGGATGACAATCGCGGGAGCTGTCACTGCGCGATGGGAACGATCGCTGCCCTACGATTCTGCACGAAATCATGGGCACATGACACGGAGAGGCGCGGTGACAACAAAGCTGCCGCGGGCCAGAGGCGTCCACCTCCTTCAGGCACCTTCGCGGAAGAATGGAGACGGACAGGGAGTGGAGCAGGACCAAGGCTGAAACTGAGCAGGACGCGATGAGGTGGAAAAGGCGGATCGCCCCCCCCCTCCCCTCCCCCTCCATCTCCCCTCCTCTCTACCCTCTCCCCATCTCCCCTTCGCTTCCTCACCCGCCCATCCTTATGCCGTTCGCGTCGTCTTGTTTCTCGTTTTTTTTCTTCCCATACCCCCGACGTCATGTTTTCGTTGCTCACAACCTCTACCCCCAGAAATCTAGCCAATTCCCCACGACAGGATTGCCATCCGGAATTGCTTTGTTGAGCGTTCTGGGAGGCCGGGCAAGGGCGCCGAAAGGCATAAAATAGCAAAACAGCTATCCGTCGAGCTTTTCACGAAGCGATGGGGGCCTAGGTCCTCCTCCTGACTATCCCCCCTCCCTCGAGATCGAGATCCCTCCTCGAGATGCCTCCTCCCCTCCCTCGAGATCGAGATCCCTCCCTCCCTCCCCCCCCTCCCTCGAGATCGAGATCCACGCTCGAGGTACCTCCTCGGCTTCCACTCCCCCTCCCACGAGACCCCTCCTTCTGGGGGCATCCTGGGGTCTCAGAGCAGCCCCCGCAGGTCCGACGAGGGCCAAGAACGTTCGAGATCCTCGACGCTTCCCCTCCTCGCCCCCTCTGCGCTCCTCGGTCCAGTTCTTCGCCCTTTTTACAGTCGTCGTTCTACCAGAAGGAGAGCTGAAGGAACGAAGGGGCCTTTCTCATCATCATCATCATCATCATCATCATCATCATCATCATCACCATCATCAGCATCATCATCAGCATCATCCACATCAGCACCAGCACCAGCATCATCATCATCATCGTCATCATCAGCATCATCATCATCACAATCAACACCATCACCACCAGCATCATCATAATCATCGTTATCATCATCATCACCATCACCATCACCATCACCATCATCATCATCATCATCATCACCATTAACTTCACCATCATCATCACCATTAGCATCATCAACATCCTCATCACCGTCATCATCATCACCGTTACCACCATCACCACCATCGTCATCACCACCATCATCAGCAGCCATCCTTCTACCAGCAGGAACGCTGAACAAGGAACGAACAGGGCCTTTGGTGGCCACGGGGCGCCCCTCGCCCACGAAGAGGCCCCCCCGACCCGACATCCGGCCACCCCTCCCGAGCCCGGAGAGGTCCTTCTCTCGGCGTCTTGACTGTGCTCTTAGGTCGGGCATGCCCCCCTTGACTGTACTCTTAGGAGGAGGAGGAGGAGGAGGAGGAGGAGGAGGAGGAGGAGGAGGAGGAGGAGGAGGAGGAGCACGAGGAGGAGGAGGAGGAGGAGGAGGAGGAGGAGGAGGAGAGGAGGAGGAGGAGGAGAGGAGGAGGAGGAGGAGGAGGAGGAGAGGAGGAGGAGGAGCAGGAGGAGCACAGGAGGAGGAAGAGGAGGAGAGGAGAGGAGGAGGAGTGGGGAGGAGGAGGAGAGAGGAGGAGGAGGAGGAGAGGAGGAGGAGGAGGAGGAGGAGGAGGGAGGAGGAGCTGGGAGAACATCAATTCTGCAGACGACCGCCTGCTCGAGAGACCTGGGCGCGCGCCCCGCGTGCTCGGCGTGCCTGCTGGCCCGGGTCAATCCAGACCGGCGTCCGTCTTAGGTCGGGCATGTCCCCCGACAGGCGGTTTTCCTCCTCCTGACTATCCCCCCTCCCTCGAGATCGAGATCCCTCCTCGAGATGCCTCCTCCCCTCCCTCGAGATCGAGATCCCTCCCTCCCTCCCCCCCTCCCTCGAGATCGAGATCCACGCTCGAGGTACCTCCTCGGCTTCCACTCCCCCTCCCACGAGACCCCTCCTTCTGGGGGCATGTCCCCCGACAGGCGGTTTTTGGACGAGAAGTAAAAAGTGGTCAAGGCATGCTCAAAAAGATGGCCAAAAATGGTCGAAACATCGTCCCCAGACTATCTTTTTACTATTTTAGGGTATTCCTCCTGTAGAGGGAGCCCCAGCGCCGATCGGAGAAATCCGGATCTTCGAGTTTTTATGTTTATGTCATTGTTCGTTCCCCTAACCGGATTACATCGGGTGGGGATGATTCTCGGCAGCGAGCGAGGGGGGAAGTGAGGAGAAGGCCTTCTCAGAGGGCGGCGGGACTTCTCAGAAGCTCTTGCGCCTTCTGAGAATCTCTGAGTGTCTTCGGGGAAAGCTTAGGACACATCTTCGAAGGGCGGGGGACCTCCGAGCCTTCTGAGAAGGCCCGCCCCTTCTCACTTCCCCCCTGGGTTCGCCGCGGATAAGTCGAGAATCTTTAAGATCTGGCGGCACTGGAGAAAATCTCGGGCGCCGCGGCCCTTTCAGAGCGTTCCGGAACGCTCTGAGAACAACGACTATGACGACGACGCGAGCAACGGCGACGACGACGGCGGGGACAGAGACGACGACGAAGGCGACACTGATGTCGACGATGCACGCGAGGACGGCGACGGCGGCGACGACGACCCCAAGGGGGCGGGCCGGCCAGCGGACAGGCGGCCGTCGGGCGGACCCTCGCGGGCGGCCCCGGGCGTGCGGACCCTGACAGGCGGGTCGGGCGGGCCAGGATTCCATCCGTCGGACATCAGCGGGGGCGAGGCGGACAACGACGAGGGCGACGGCGACGAGGGCGACGACGACGACGACGAGGGCGACGGCACCGATGACGACGAGGGCGGCGAAGACACCGAGAACGACGGTGAAGCTGACGACAACGGAGGCGACGACGACGCGCCGACGACGAGGGCGACAACGACGACGACCATCCTGCGAACATGTGACCCCTCCCAACGAACAATTTTGCCTTGTATTCGTTTCTACCTCTCCCTGGCATCCGCCCGCTAAATCTACGAACCAACTCCCTTTTGGGGCTCCTTCCCGTAGCATTCTTCAAAAGAAGCATTCAACGGTGCACTCTGCATGCACGCTGCGCCGCACTTACCGTAATGCGAGCTGGCGCGCCCGCGGGCAGCTCACCAACTTGATTGAATCTCGAGGAAGTCTTTGGCGAGAGCCCGTTTCTCAGTTTCGGGGCCTCTCTGGCCAGGGCGTCTCGGCGTAAGCTGTGAGGTAGTATCAAATGGGAGCCGTTGTCGTTGCAGGTTGGCCGTTGCGAATTTGACTGGGTTCCGAGGAAGTCTCGGGCAAGAGCGCCGTTCCTGATTTCGGGGCCCTCTCTGGTCAGGGCGTTTCCGACTAAAGTGTGAAGAACTATCGAGCGGGAGCCGTTGTCGTCGTAGCTGGGCCGTTACCAACGTGATTGAATCGCGAGGAAGTCTCAAACGAGTGCGACCTTCTTAGTTTTGGGGCATCTCTGGCCAGGGCGACTCGAGATAAGCTTCATCGCTTCGCGGAAGCGATAAAGCTTATCTCGAGCCTCCTGGAGTCCTCCTGGGAGCCCCTTGGGGCGTCTTCGGTTGGACGTCTCCTGGGGTCCTCTCGGGGTTTGCCCAGCTGTGTGGGGAGGGCCATCCATCGCGGAAGAGTCTGACATTTCAGTTCGGGTTCCTGCTCTTCGGACCCTCGGGGGAGGTTTGGAAGCTTCTTGGGAGACCTCCCGGGCGTCTTCGGGCCCTTTTGGGCCGTCTCGTGGCCGTCTTCGGACGGGTCGGGCGGGCGGACTCTGACATTAGGTCGGGCCTGTCCCCCTACAGGCCGATTTTCGAGGAAACATTTCAAATAGTCAAAACAATCCCCCCAAAGAGTCAAGAAATACTTAAAACATAATCCCCTATTTTTAAAATATTCCTGCTGTAGAGGGACAGGCCCGACTTACCACTAGCAGGCGGGTCGGGCGGATCGGGCGGGCGGACCCGATCGGGCGGACCCTGACGAGCGGGGATGGCGCCCGTCCCACGGTAACTCGCGTTCCTATAGTGCAGTGCGCATCGAGTGGCGGAGGTGAAGCCCGTATCATGCGTGTCCTATCAGAAAACGGCCTGCGAGCCCCGGAATATGCTCGTCAGCACCAGCAACATGCGTGTTAGTACTGGAAGCGCTTCGAGCACGCCAGTGCATGCTGGGAAGACCAGAAGACCATCCTGCATTCTGCACGCGTCGCGTGTCGGCGGGCCGCCACCACGCCCCGCCAGGAACGGTTCTGGTGAGCACCGCCGTGCCTGCGCGCACCGCGCAGCGTGTAAGCAGCACGGTATCCGTACACCTGCCACTTCCCGCCCTCCCCCGCCCTCAATCCGTCCGTCCACCCCGCCCATGTGGAGCGGCGGGCTGTGGACCTCGCGTGGGCGGAACTCGCACGGGCGGAATTCGCACGGACAGGAACTCGCACCGACACAGCTCGCACGGACGGAGCTCGCACGGACGGAACTCGCACGCGTGGAACCCGCGCGGACGGAGCTCGCATGGACGAAATTCGCACGGACACGACTCGCGCGGGCGGGACTCGCAGGGGCGGAACTCACACCAGCGGAACTCGCACACAAAGAAGCTTCAGACCGAGAGCAAGGTCATGCGTGCGAAATCAGTCCGTGCGAGTTTCGCGCGTGCGAACTGCGTCTGGACGAATTCCGCTTCGTGCGAGTCCCGCGGAGTGTAAAAATAGCGCGTGCGAACTCCGCCTCGTGCGAAATCTGCGTCCTGCGAGTTCCATGCGTGCGAGTTCCCTGGGTGCGAGTTCCGTGCGTGCGAGTTCCGCGAGTACGAGTCCCGCCGCTTCCAAGATTGCAATGATCGGATCTCAAGGCGCCCCCTGGTTGGATGCGGCAGGAGGTCTGAACTGCATGGGGACCCAGGACATCGTTCACGACGGGGGGACGATGACGAATCCTCTCAAAATCGGCCTCCGGACCCCCTCTGGGTTTCATCTGGTGCAAGTTCTCACTCCAGATCCGTTTCTGACTGTACACGCAAACAAAAACCGTATCGAGCCCAGCGCCTCGAACCGGCCCCCCCCCCCTACCTAAGGGCCAGCACCAGTGCTGGGCCACCTCAGACCCCGAGCGGGCTCCAAGGCTGGGGCCGCCCTGTAGAATCGGGGGTGCGCAACAATGGGTGAGCGATGCATGGATCTGGCGCGCGGTCGCCAAATCCATGGATCGCCTCTCCCAAATGCGGCCGGTGCCGCCTCGCTCGGCGGCGGACATCCGCGATTTCCCATGGCAACGGGACCCGTCGCTAATCCACGCCCCCCTTGCTCCGTGTCTGCGACCGCCTGATAGAAGCGAGCAGCACCGGGCGGGCGCCCCGCCCGCCCCCGCCTGGCGAACTCGCGCAGCTGGCCCGCATGCTGTGCCACGTAGCTCTGCTTGACGCCGCCGTGCAGCAGGGCCCGCGGGCCCGCGCCGCGGTCCGCGCCGCTTATCTGGTCCTGGGGAGCCGTGGGAGGCAGCCCCCGAGAGATCTTCCTCGGGACGGTGAAGGAAGAGCGCGTTCCAAATCTCGTAAAGTAACTGCTCGCAAATGGCCTGGATCCTCCGCGGGGGATTTACGATACATTCCATAACGGGAGACACATTTTGTTTGGACGGTTGCGAGTAGGCACTTTGCGAGTAGTGGAACGCGCTCCGTGGACGAAAAACCATTCAGCCCGATGGAAGGGCGAGTGAGCCAAATTAGGCCGGATGGAGCCTGGGATGAGTAGGGATTACGCCAGACTGGGCGGGACGAGGCCAGACTGGGTGAGACTTTTAGCCAGAGCGAACCAGTTTGGGAGATGCCTGCGCCGATGCAGACTTGAGCCTCCCTGGAACTGCATCCCGACACGGGGAGAGCCTCGGGAGCCCAGAACCCGGAGGGGCCCCCATGCTCTCCATGCCAGGCGGGAGGGAGCAGGGAGGAGGGAGAGGGGAGGGAGGAGGAAGAGAGGAGGGAAGAGGACGCCGCCAACCATGAAAGGAATGACCACACCCAACATGCAAATGGAAAAGCGAGGGGGCGGCAGGTCCGGTTCCCCTCCAGGAACGCCCCTGCCCTCCAAAGGCCTAGACTCCCGACGCTATGTTCCTTCCTTCATGACGTCGACCCCCCCCAAAAGGCCTCGACCCTTCCTCAGGACGGGCTTCCCATCCTGAGTCGTTTTGCGGACGGTCCCAGCGAAGGCCCCCAGAGACGGCAAAGAACGAAATGCCTGCCGGCATGATTTTGGTTATAACCCGAAGGGGTCTGGGCCTCAGTGGGCCCCGGAAACGACAAAGCCGTGTCTTCACCGCTTCCGCCAAAAATGTCTCCCTTGATAACGGACGCGGCAAAAAAACGGCAGCCGGAAACGGCACTTACAACGATTCCCGAAGAGGAACTGGAACCGGAACCACCAAACACTTTTTCCCGTCGGCGGCAAGGCGGGGCAATCCGCTCCAGCGTGGCAGCGATGCAGGGACACTACAAAGCAAATTGGCCGGCATGCTGGAGGCCGCGGGGGGGAGGACGGCGGCGGAACCACCGACACACAACGGCGACGTAACGGCAACTGGAAGCGGCAACAAAAACGGCTTCAGCATTGGAGCCGGCACCGGAACCAACAACAAAAACGGCGACGGTTAACCAGAGCGGCGCCGGAACTGGCAGCAACAACTGTATAAAACGGCGCCAGTGCAGTGGAGGCCCGTCCACAAAAAAAACTTTCACAAGAAACCCAACCCTGAGACCTCAGGACCTGCATCGATTTTTCGTGTGGGAGCGTCACGCCTTGCATGGCCAAACCATCGAAACCCAAGCAACCCATGGCACCCTGGAGGCGAGCAGGGTGTTTCTTGGAATGGGTCTCCACTGCAAGGTGGGGCCCAGAGTCGGGCATCGGCAAGCCCGTGCGCCACAGAAGCCCAGGATGCGTCCGCGATGCTGCAGTGCAGCCTCTGGCCACGCCCCACGGCGGGAGTCGCTCCCCCCCCCCTTCCTTCTCCTCCTCCTCCTCCTCCTCCTCCTCCTCCCTCCTCCTCCTCCCTCTCCTCCTCCTCCTCCTCCCCCTCCTCCTCCTCCTCCTCCTCCTCCTCCGTCCTCCTCCTCCTCCTCGTCCTCCTCCTCCTCCTCCATCCTCCTGCTCCTCCTCCTCCTCCTCCTCCTCCTCCTCCTCCTAGGCGTTGTGGTCCGAGGCGCCTCCTTTCGGGACAGCCCGATAGACCGCGACCCCAGCCCTTCGGGCGACCACCTCCACCACGGGCGCGAAATCCCCCTCGCCCGCGTGGCATCGTGCCCAGCGGCGCCAGCGCGCCGCAGCCAGGCACAGACTGCGACCTCAGAGGGACTGCGTGTTATTGAGTAGCCACCACGGTTCTGCAGTACCCATGGGCAGTGATGATCGCACGTGGCCATGCAGATACTGTTACCACGCAGCCAGCGGTAAGAGGTTCTTCAACAAGCCGAGCAGACAGAATTGTTGGCAGTGCAAAAGGACCAAGTCAGCATGTATCCACAGCTACAAGGCCCCTGCTGCGAAGCGTTCAGATGCAGCAGTTCGAGCTCGTGAGAAGAAGGACGATACTCCCTGGGCGAATTCTGCAAAGTTGCGGGAAGCTCAGAAGCAGATCAAGAAGCTCGAACAGGAGATGCAGCAGCGCAAGCAACAGGACCTACTACCTGAGTCGGTTCCTTCGAGTCTGTAGTCTCGTCCGATATGGTGGTTGATGACGGTAAAAAGATGGATGAAGGCCAGGCCAGAGCAAGGATTCACGAACTTGACAAGCAGCTGGACATGGCGAAAGGAGAGGGTGAGCATTGGGACACATTACGGGCTGCATTACGTAGCGAGAAGGACGACCTTCAGCAGCGGGTCCATGCTCTCAATGCTGCTTCTGCGCAGATGTTCCAGATCAATCGCCAGCTATACCAAGAGTCTCAGCAGATATCCAAGGCAAAGTTGGCGATCGAGAAGCAAGTACAGCATATCAATGAATTGCAGGCAGCACTGCAGGTATCCCAACGGGAGCTGTCAGAGCGAGAAGCCAAACATGAGGAGCTTCGACTTCGGCAGCTCGAGCTCGCTAAGGCGGCGGTGCAGCCCTGTGATGGAGGGGCTAGGTTGGCCCCGCATTCCGATCCCATCACGGCGCTCGGCCTCGACTGCTCTGCCCTGGGGCGCATCCTCAAGCAGCTCGGTGCAGGCGAAGCGGCCGAACCGATGGCTGAGGAGATCGCACGTCAACTACCAGTGGTTGGTTCTACCCTGGTCACAGGTGCATCAGTGGCAGTGGTTGGTTCTACTGCAAGTGAGATTGCACAGCCTGCCTTCCCTGTGGATCGTGGGGCGGATGTTGGTGGTGCTCATGTTCCTGTACCTGAGGTTGAGGAGTCGATTCCGGACGCCCCGTCGGTGCGTGAGGCGGACACTGAGGTCCTACGGCAACATCTCGGAGCTGTGGGAGTCCCGATCGAGGAGACGGCGTCAGGGGAGGAGGTTCGGCAGGCGGCCAACAAGCTCTTCAAGTGGAGTCATGGCCCGCAACGTCATGTGTTTACGCCGCTTTGACTGTATTGTCGTCGCTGTCATGGTGAACATATCATGGAATATGGAGAAGACTACAACAATGCCAGGGAGCACATGTACAGCTGGGGCTCCCTATCGTATGACGCATGATGAGGGGGCGGCTCGGTCTCGAGACGCTCTCCAGAGTATGAAGTTTCCCTCTACGCCACCTTCTGCTGGGTCAGGCCCAGGAAGAATCAATGGTCAAGATCAAAGTGGAGAAGGCTCTCTGGTTGCTAAGGGGTCGTAACCACCATCAACGCGGACAATATGGGGCCGTTGCTCAGGTAAATGAAAGGGTGCAGGTCAGCAGTTGTCTTGGTTCAAGGGCACAAAGCTGATGAAACAGCACTACCTGGGCTAGAGAAGAGATTACGGCGGCTGGGTGATCACGGTATAGATGCGCCAGTACTACGTACAGAGATGGATGGGATTTCTTCTGGTGTTGCGGTGCTGGCACCGACGTATGTCACTATCACTTCGCCTCCAGGGATCAAATGCCCAGTTCTACGTGAAGGGAGAATGGTAGCAACAAAGGTTGCTTGGGGCATCACTGCAGGTATTGTGGCGGTGTCAGTGTATTTCAAAGATTCGGTTGGACTGGATGAGCATAATCAGGACATGTTGTATAGGCTGGTCTGCTATTTAGGCCGGCTAAACGACATGGAGCAGTGCTGGGTAGTTGGAGGCGACTGGAAGATGGAGTCTATTACATTTGATGGGCAGGCCTGGTTGCAGCAGCTCAGATATTTGTTCCTGGTACCGACGCAGATCACATGCTGTGCGACGAACGCTTCTGAGGGAAGCACATGCGACTTCATCGTTATCTCGGACAGGCTCGCGACTAAGGTGTCCCCCCAGAGGTCGATGTCTCGGGTGGGCTACCTGTTCATTACCCAGTGTCGTTGCCGATTATTGACGGACATAGGCAGGTATGGTTGAGGGTCCCGCAGGAACCCGAGCATACCTAAGGGCCCACACGTGGGCTGCTCGAGACCGCCGTCAAGGTGGGATGATACCATGGAGGTTGTACTCCAAGTCAACAATGAGACCGAGCTACGACACGCATGGGATCTGGTGGTATCTGGCATTGAGGCTGACGTCTTAGCACGTCGTGGTCTTGTGGGAGATGAAGGCAGAGGATACGCTGGCAGAGCGGGGCCCATTGTTGCCAAATTCGTTGAAGCCAAGTGGGACATCAAACATGCACGACACCAATATGGGCCCACGGCGAGAGCATGGATGACTGCAGCTCGATGGGCTAAACATAGCATACGTGTCAGAGCTTGTTGGATCAAGATGGTAGGTGCATGCAGAAAAAATACGGTATGGATGGCACGGGACTCATATTGCCTGACTACACATCGCCATGGACTTCCGTAACGGTGAAGGATGCGCTGGATGCAGGATGGAAACATGTACGCAGGTACAGGAAGGACAAGAGCGTGGTGCAGGATCAGGATGAGGAGCGTGGCCTAGTGAGAAGGCTTGCGCAGTCTATGCAGCAGTTTCTTGGATTTCATCGGCGTGTTGTGATGCAGCATGGGCTGTTGCGCAGCCTGGACGGGGAAGCACGCGACTTTCTGCAGGAAGGTGTCTTCTCATTTGCTGATGCTGAGTTCGAGAACAAGGCATGTCGTATCATTGAACATGCGGGTGACTTTGTCCAGAGCTTCCAGAAAAGAAGTGAGCAGGACTGCAAGAGCTGGGCCAGAACGGCCTTTTTGAATGGCGCTGGCAAGGCGCACAGAGCTTCCAAGACTCAGGCGCTGGCGGCGACCATCTTTTGCACATCCCGAGCCCATCCTTTCCAGCTGGCAGATGACGAGATGTGGAGATGGAGGGAGGCATGGACGTGTCATGCTACGAAATGTATGGAGCTTCCACATGGAGCCGATCGATGGGAAGGG